TGAAAGGGATACATTTTATTTCTACTCTTATCACAAGTACATCTGCTGGGATAAACAATGGCAAACATTGAAGAAATAGTTAGGAGTAAATATTTTGACTGCTGCACTTACAAATAAATTGAAGGAATATCAAAGCAGAGTAGTTTAATCTCCGCTCCAAAACTCTCAGCAACTCTATTTTCAACTGCTGTTACTTTTTGAAGAGCCAAGCTATCTCATTGCAATGTTTTTCAAGACCAGTATCTCCTATTGTAACCAAAGATTTAGCAATGAATTTCATTCCATATTTATCTTTAAACTAGTTTATATGCAAGCAATTGTTTTCTGCATCTTGACTTCTCAGAAAAAAACTTTTCCCTAGCTAGTTCTATTGAAATGATTGCTTAACTCTTGACATATAATAATAATATATTTATTTAAGAATTGACAGCATCTCATGTGTGAAAATACGGGCAATTATTTTCCAATTAAAAAAAACTTTGAGCACCTTCCAGGCAGTCATGGTCAAACATTTTTCTTCATAACCCTGCAAAAAAAGAAATATAAATAGGCAACTAATATTCCAAGAATTGTTGGAAAAAATCTACAGAAATGGGTTGAAAGTTCTAGTTGAGAAAAGTCTGGTTAAACCTTTTTCTCTAGATGTGTGAAAACAAAAAAGCAAATACAACAGAGAATATTAGATAATGCGTAGCAGTACCATGTAAGTACAGCTACTGTATATCCTGAATTCAGAGACAGTGCTTAGTCTTTTCAGTTAACAAGTCATTTTAACATTTTAACCCTTCCAAAACACAGAAAAGCATTTGCCCTGGCAAAAATTAATGGATTGCCTTTGGCCTTATTAGAGGGGAGGCATAACAAAGTCCCTTATGATGTATGCATATGTCCTTGTGGTGATGGCTCAATGGAGACAATGAGACATATATTGTTATACTGTTCCTTCTATAGTGGCTTCCGACATACTTTTATCCACTTAATTCTACAAAGTTTTCCTAGAAGGACTGTTGACTTTTACACACACTACTTGCTGGCAGATCAGAATCCAATGGTAACAGTTAAAGCTTTTGTGCCACAGCGCTCGCTTGTCGCCAAAAAATGGCATGATAAACTTAAGGGAATTTTTACCTGTATTTAATATCTATTTTGATATAATCTTGTTATTAATATTTGTTTGGGTCTACTATTTTGTTTTCAATTGTTTGTTTGTTTTTGGTTTTTATCTGATCTGTTGATCATATTATTATTATTATTATTATTATTATTATTATTATTTTACTGACACAAAAGCACAGTATGACAACAGCAAATGAGATCTATATGCTGGATTTCATATCAAAAATCACAAGTTGAACACTTCCCAGGCATCTAGGACTGTGTGATGTATTTTCGAATGATGCGCGCAGATCCAAGTAAGGTGGCCTTTTGCACTTGACAGATCATGATTTTGTCGATGTTTATTGTTTCCAAATGCCGACTGAGATCTTTTGGCACAGCACCCAGTGTGCCCATTACCACTGGGACCACCTTTACTGATTTATGCCACAGCCCTTGCATTATTGTTGTTGTTGTTGTTATTATTATTATTATTATTATTATTATTATTATTATTATTATTATTAGCTTTACAAAATTAAAACACTTATTCACTGTTCTTTATCCAAAAGGTCTCCCAGAGTAGTTAACAAAGCAAGATAGAAGGTTCAAAAAGACACACAGTTTAAAGAACTGGTTTTGTTTTGTAGAGAAGATGGAAAAATCCATATATCACCCTGAAAAGACCCAGTCCCATCTGATTTCAAAAGCTAAACTGAGTTTGGTATGGTAAGTAATTGTGTGTAAGGATATCCACAATGGAAATGAAAAGATCCTTGCCCAAAAAACTGCAGTCGCTGGCAGTCAGAATTGGTGATACTGAGCTAAATGGCCTAATGGTCATTTAGCCATAATGCATCTTCCTTGGCATTCCCATTGGAAAGTTTTTTTCAATACATCTAATATTCACTCTGTAGGACTTTATAGTCAATCTCTTTAGCTAGAAAGACCAATTCTACATTCTAATAGGTCAAGGGAAAGAAATATGACACCACCCCTATGACAGAGCACAGACAGTATTGAACCTTCTTTGTTCAGACCATACCTGGAATACTGTGTCCAATTCTGGGCACCACAATTTAAGGGAGATGTTGACAAGCTGCAATGTGTCCAGAAGAGGGCAACTAAAATGATCAAGGGTCTGGAGAACAAGTCCTATGTGGAGCAGCTTAAAGAGCTGGGCATGTTTAGCCTGCAGAAGACAAGGCTGAGAGGAGACATGATAGCCATGTGAGGGGAAGTCATAGGTTGGAGGGAGCAAGCTTGTTTTTTGCTGCCCTGGAGACTAGGACACAGAGCAATAGCTTCAAACTATAAGAAAGGGGATTCCACTTGAACATGAGGAAAACCTTCCTGTGAGGGCTGTTGAGTAGTGGAACTCTCTGCCCTGGAGTGTGGTGGAGGCTCCGTCTTTGAAGACTTTCAAACAAGGCTGGATGGCCATCTGTCAGGGGTGCTTTGAATGCGATTTTCCTGCTTCTTGGCAGGGGGTTGTACTGGATGGCCCACGAGGTCTCTTCCAACTCTATGATTCTATCATTCTATGAATCATGGTTACTATACAATCCCAGAGCTGGCATATCTTGAAAAAAGACTGGCAGCTGAAAAGTTTTTTGGTTTGCCTGTTACTTTGTGTGGTCATTTATTCCAGAGTTGTACATAAGGAAGAGCTGCCTGACAGTGGAATATGCTACCTCAGAGTGTGGCAAGGTTGTCAAATTAATGATTTGTAAGCTGCCCTGGGCATCTTGTTGGTTAAACGAGGATATAAATACTTTATACAAACAAACAAAATCTACAATTCACTGTAAGAGTCTCGCAGACCTAATCTGTGCAAGGGCTGTCACTTTCCTATACCATCTACATCAACATTTTAAAGCTTCTTTTATAGCACTTGATACTGAACAAAGTCTTGGGGAAGCCTAGAACTACATCCAGTTTGAGAACAGAACAGCAACAAAAGAAAAGACAAACCAGGAATATGAGCAATTTAGGCAATGCTCCTTTTTCCCTAAATGTCCTTCAGGGGAACAGAATAGCCTGGGTGAACCTAAATTAAGGACACACCAACTGATGCAACGTTACTGAAAAGATTGTCCCTTACACAAAGCATTGTTTTGTTCTCATGTTGGCATTTGGAAGCAGGGCTTCCCCTTTCCCCCCACTCTCTAGTTTTAGCATTGCACGCAAATGATAATATTGGCTTTTTCCCAGGAACATGTCATAAGATGAGAAAGCAGCCACCTAGGAAAAGAGTAGACTTGTTAGGAAACATGGGGAGGGGACTACACATTTTAACACCTGATGCCATCACTGGTCATTTATGCACCAACAACAGAGCTGAAACATCATAATCTGGTCTAGAAAAACCTGGATTCAGCAATATATCCACATTCTGGGCATATTCTTAAAACCCAATTATAGCATTATATCCTACTTTTAAGTGTCATGACAACATCATATGGATTCCTGGGATTTGTAGTTTGGTAAGACAAACTACTGGCGGAGCCTCCTGATAGTGCAGTGGGTTAAACCGCTGAGCTGCTGAACTTGCTGACTGAAAGGTTGGTGGTTCGAATCCAGGGAGCAGAGTGAGCTCCTACTGTTAGCCTCAGCTTCTGCCAACTTAGCAGTTCGAAAACATGCAAATATGAGCAGGTCAATAATAATATTATTATAATAACTTTATTTTTATACCCCACCTCCATTTCTCCAAAGGGACTTGGGCAGCTTACATAGGGCGAAGCCCAAGCAACAAAGTTAAAAACATAACACTTTAAAACGCATGGCATCAATTTAAAACAGCATAAAAACAACATTATAACAATATATAAAACAAGCAATGAAACCAATGACAATAGTATACAAATAGCTACAGCTCTGGCGGTAAGATAAAACTTATGCTGGTCACATGACCTTGGAGGCATTTACAGACAATGCTGGCTCTTTGGCTTACAAATGGAGATGAGCACCATCCCACAGATTTAGACACGACTAGAAATTCTCTTGGTGGTCCGCGAGAAAGCCTTACTGGTACATTATTTAAACTGTTAAGTTTATTCATATAATTATTTGATCACCATGCTCAATATATCCCATATGCATGGGGGTATTGGGGTAATGATACAAAAGGTTTGCTAGGGTAGACCCTCTTTCACTCAGACTCAGCCCCCCCCCCCAATCAAAATCCTGGCTACGGGCCTCTCTGCTCTATATCTATTTATCTAGGAGATCTCCAAAGATGCCTGGACTCTCCCAGGAACCATCTATATCAGGTATGTGCAAATTTGGTCCCTCCAGGTGTTTTGGACTGGAGGGCCCAAGTTTGCCCATGCCAGCTCTATAGCCAACCATCCAGGAGAGCTCCAAAGATGACTAGACTGTCCCAGAATCTATTTATATCAGGCATGGGCCAAACTGGGCCCTCCAGGTGTTTTGGACTTCAACCCCCACAAATCATCAGGCCCCTTCCTTTTCCCCCTCAGCCACTTAAATGAGGAAGGGGCCTGAAGCTGTTAGGAATGGTGGGAGCTGAATTCCAAAACACCTGAAGGAGGGTCCAAGTTTGCTCAGGCCTGATCTATATCCATCCAGCTTTGGCCGCCTGGGCCACAGACAGGCGGGAGGCTGCAGACAAAAGCCTGGACCGCTGAAACAGTAGCAAACAGCAGCCGCCGCCGCTTCCGCCTGGAGCCTGGGCTGCGTGTGCGCATTGGCAGGAGGGGAAGGGGCTGCTGGCCGGGACTCTGGCCGAGGAGGAGGAAGAGGAAGGAGAAGAGGGGGCTGGCTTCTCCCTCGTGCTCCCCATCCAAGAGGGGCGCGCCCTCAGCCCCTCAGCCACGCGGGGCTTTTCCCTCTGGAGGGGCTCTGGGAGGGGGAAAGGAGGAGGGGAAGGAGGGGCGCCTCAAAGCCCTGAAGCCTCTCTCAGCCACATGGAAAGAGACGCCCCACAGAAGCCCCTCGGATGGATGGAAGGAAGAGAGGAAGGAAAGCAGGCGCGCCGCATCCCTCCTCCTCTTGCTGCTCCTGCTGCTGCCGCCTCTCCTGGACCAAGCGCTGCCCCCTCCCGCCTTCAGTCGCCTTCTCCCTTTCAGTCACTCCTTTGGGTTTGACTGTGGCTGGCGGAGGGGAGGGGAAGGGGAAGGGGTGACCCTTTCCTTTCTCCCCTTCCGCGGGATCGGGCTCTGGGCGTTAACAAAGGCGGATAAAAGGGCGAGAGCAAGGGAGCCGGCAGAGGGGCCGCCGCCGCTTCCCTGGGCCGCATCCATCCAGGCGGAGAAGCAGGCAGAGAGCAACAGCCAGGCGCAGCTCCGGGGAGTAAGTAGAAAGAAAGAAAGAAAGAAAGGGGAAATCTCTTCCCTGCGGCTTCGGCTTTGCACGCCTCTGGCTCTCTCTCCCCTTGGCTTCCCTTTCCCTTCTTCTTCTTCTTCTTCGGACTCCTGGGACCGGGCGGGACTTTGCCTCGGAGGCGCTGCTTCTCCTGGAAGGATTGGCCGCCTTGCCTTCCTTTCCCGGATTCTCTCTCATTGATTTGTCCACTGGACTGATTTGTATGCCACCTTTGTCACTGAAGGGCTTGGATGGCCCATCTTTGTCTAGATGTAGACGTGATAGTAATAGAACCACAGGATTTTAAGCTGCAATGTTTTTTGGATCTTGTGAGGCACTTTAAGTCCCCTAAGAAAAAGCAGCATATAAATCTAACAACAATAATAATAATAATAGAATCATATAATTTTTTGGATGTTGTGAGGCACTTTGAGTCTCTTAAGAAAGAAATAGCATATAAATGTAATAATAATAATAATAATAATAATAATAATAATAATAGAATCATAGGATTTTTGGGTGCTGTGAGACACTTTTGAGTCTCTTAAGAAAGAAATAGTACACAAATAAATCTAATAATAATAATAATGACAATGAAATCAGGATTGTTGGATGTTGTGAGGCACTTTGAGTCTCTTAAGAAAGAAAAAGCATGTAAATATACTAGTAATAATAATAGAATCATAGGATTTCTGGATGTTGTGAGACACTTTGAGTCTCTTAAGAAAGAAATGGCATATAAATAAATCTAATAATAACAATGGAATCATAGGATTTTTTAATCTTGTGAGGCTCTTTGAGTCTCTTAAAGAAAAGGCATATAAATATAATACTAATAATAATAGAATCATAGGATTTTTGGATGTTGTGAGGTACTTTGAGTCTCAAGAGAGAAATAACATAATAATAATAATAATAATAATAATAATAATAATAATAATAGAATCATATGATTTTTTGGATGTTGTGAGGCACTTTGAGTTTCTTAAGAAAGAAACAGCATATAATAATAATAATAATAATAATAATAATAATAATAATAGAATAATGGGATTTTTGGATGCTGTGAGACTGAGTCTCTTAAGAAAGAAATAGTATATAAATAAATCTAATGATAATGAAATCGGGATTGTTGGATGTTGTGAGACACTTTGAGTCTCTTAAGAAAGAAAAAGCATATAAATATAATAGTAATAATAATAGAACTATAGGATTTTTGGATGGTGTGAGATGTTTTGAGTCTCTTAAGAAAGAAATGGCATATAAATAAATCTAATCATAACAATGGATTTTTGGATGTTGTAAGGCTCTTTGAATTTCTTAAAGAAAAAGCATATAAATATAATAGTAATAATAATAGAATCATAGGAGTTTTGGATGTTGTGAGGTACTTTGAGTTTCTCAAAAGAGAAATAACATAATAATAACATAATAATAATAATAATAATAGAATCATATGATTTTTTGGATGTTGTGAGGCACTTTGAGTCTCTTTTAAGAAAGAAATAGCATATAATAATAATAATAATAATAATAATAATAATAATAATAGAATAATGGGATTTTTGGATGCTGTGAGACACTGAGTCTCTTAAGAAAGAAATAGTATATAAATAAATCTAACAATAATAATGAAATCAGGATTGTTTGATGTTGTGAGGCACTTTGAGTCTCTTTAAGAAAGAAATAGCATATAAATATAATAGTAATAATAATAGAACCATAGAATTTTTGGATGGTGTGAGATGCTTTGAGCCTCTTAAGAAAGTAATGGCATATAAATAAATCTAATTACAACAATGGAATCATAGGATTTTTGAATGTTGTGAGGCTCTTTGAGTCTCTTAAAGAAAAAGCATATATAATAGTAATAATAATAGAATCATACCATTTTTGGATGTTGTGAGGTACTTTGAGTCTCTCAAGAGAGAAATAACATAATAATAATAATAATCATAGAATCATAGGATTTTTGGATACTGTGGGGTACGTTGAGTCTCTTAAGAAAGAAATAGCATATAAGTAAATACAAAAATAATAGAATCATAAGATGTTTGAATGTTGTGAGGCACTTTGTGTCTCTTAAGAAAGAAATAGTATATAAATAAGTCTAATAATCACAATGGAATCATAGGATTTTTGGATGTTGTGAGGCACTTTGAGTCTTAAGAAAAAAATAGCATATAAATAATAATAATAGAATCACAGGATTTTTGGATACTGTGAGGCATTTTCAGCCTCTTAAGAAAGAAAAAGCATATAAATATAATAGTAAAAATAATAATATAAAATAATAGGCTCATAGGATTTTTGGGTGTTGTGAATCTCTTTGAATCTCTTAAGAAAAATGTATATAATAATGTTATAGGATTTTTAGATGTTTTGAGCTGTTTTGTGTCTCATTTGACATAAAATGATGATAATAACAGTAACAGTGGAATCCAAGAGTTGGAAAAGATACCAAGGGCCAACCAGTCCAATTCCCTGTCATATAGGGAACACAGAATCAAACATTCTCAACAGATGACCATCTAGCCTCTGTTTAAAAGTCTATAGAGGAGGGTCCACCACACACTGAGGCAATAATAATAATAATAATAATAATAATAATAATAATAATAGGATTGCAGAGTTGGAAGAGACCACAATCAACGCACTCCAACACTTACCCACCCAATCTCTTCATTAAAACCTTCAGAGAGGGAGATGATATAAATATTATAATAATATTACAGAGTCAAAAGAGACTCTAGTCCAGTGGTTCTCAACCTGTGGGTCCCCAGATATTTTGGCCTTCAACTCCCAGAAATTCTAACAGCTGGTAAACTGGCTAGGATTTCTGGGAGTTGGCCAAAACACCTGGGGACCCACAGGTTGAGAACCACTGCTTTAGTCCATTGAGAAAATGTTCACAATAAAAAAGCAATTAAAATAACCACACAAGACATTTCTCTTTCTTTCTTTCTTTCTTTCTTTCTTTCTTTCTTTCTTTTTTCTTTCTTTCCCTTCTTTTGTTTTCTCCAGCAACTGCCCTTTACTTCACTCTTGCTGACTAAGAACTGCATCCCTGGTGGGAAAAATCACTGATGGAAAAAATTGCAACCTAGAAGGCAATTGCAGCCACCTATCATTAGGAAGATCCATACCTAGGTCACTAAAGGTGCATCTACACCACAGAGCAGCCATTAGGCTGTTAGGAATTGTAGGAGTTGAAGTTCAAAACACCTAGAGGGCCAAAGTTTGCTCATGCCATCTATAGAGTTGATTCAGTTTAACATCACCTTAAATGTTCCAGCTCAATGCTGTGGAACCTTAAAACTTGTAGTTTGAGCAGCTACCTGCAAAAGAGGCTAAAGACCTTGTAGAACTACAACTCATGATTCCAAAGCATTGAGCCGTAGCATTTTAAGAGGTGTCAAACTAATAATAATAATAATAATAATAATAATAATAATAATAACAACAACAACCTATTTATATCCCACCACCATCTCCCCAAAGGGACTTGGGGCAGTTTACAAAGGCACGCCAAGGTGCAGCACCTATATATATAAAAATGCTCTGTTTGTAATGAGTACCTTAAAAACAAAACAACCAATGAACGAAATCACACCAAATTTGGCAACAAAACGTCTCACAACACAAGGAGTGACCATCACTCAAATAATTACGATTTTGTCATGTGGGAGTTGTAGTTGCTGGGATTTATAGTTCACCTATAATCAAAGAGCATTCTGAACTCCACCAACGATGGAATTGAACCAAACTTGGCACACAGGACTCCCATGACCAACTGAACACAGCAGAAAGGTTTGGTGGGCATTGACCTTGAGTTTTGGAATTGTAGTTCACCTACATCTAGAGAGCACTGTGGACTCAAACAATGATGGATCTGGACAAAACTTGCCACAAATACTCAATATGCCCAAATATAAACACAGATGGTGTTTGGGGTAAATAGACCTTGACATTTGAGAGTTGTAGTTCCTAGGAAGTATAGTTCATCTACAATCAAAGAGCACGCCGAACCCCAACAATGATGGAATTGGGCCAAACATCCCACACAGAACCCTCATGACCTACAGAACATACTGTGTTTTCTGGTGGTCTTTGGTGACCCTTCTGACACCCCCCCGGTGACCCCCCCCCCCGGAGTCTTGACTTCCCAGGTTGAGAAATACTGCCTTAAGGCCATCCAGTCCAACTCCCTTCACCAGGGCAAGAAAACATAATCAAAGCCCTCCTGACAAAGGGCCATCCAGCCACACACACATATATGACAGATGCGGTATCAAAGATTTGAAAGGGGCCCCTAAAAAAGGACAATTATATGTTGCCTATTCCAGAGTAGGCAAACCAGACAATCTCTACATCAACACTGGCAAAGAAACAACAAGAAATACTGTTTACCCACAAGCATCAAGACATTACATATATTAGAAACCAACACTTTCTCATTACTTTATTTTCAAGATCACCACACTGGGCCACAGCAATGCGTGGCAGGGGATGGCTAGTATAACATAAAATAAAATTCCTCAATTTTAAAACATAGAACACCTGTAGATAAAACTAGCTGCCAGCAAGTCACAAACTAAAGTGTCTGAGTGTCAACCTCATATAGACCAACTACAGCCTACTCTACAGTGCATATGCACCCTTGGTAAAGTTGTTTATTTCTGGGACTTCTTCTTCTTCTTCTTCTTCTTCTTATTATTATTATTATTATTATTATTATTTATACACCACTTTATCTCTCTGAAAGAGACTTAAAGCCGCTTACATTATCTCTCCCAAAAGAGGCTCAAAGCCGCATGCACAATTTAAAATATACAATTATGCAAACATTAAACTAGAATTAAACAAAACAGCATTAAAATTCACTGTTAAACATTCATTACAACATATTCAAAGCTAAAAACCACATAGGAGAGGGGAGAGTGAACAGACCCCTTTTGCCTGAGTTAGGAAGTCTTTTTAACCAAGGA